ATGGGGCTGGGGGGGGTCGGCCCCGGAGCAGGCACGCGCTGGTTTCCCTGGGGGGGGGGGAAAATCCTGGGAGGAGGGAGATGCAGGGGACTCTCTGCCTCCACTGGCATCCCACTCCCCTGTCTCCAGCCCCCTGTCCCCAGCTACAGAACTCGGTCCCCACTCCCCTGTCCCCAGCCACAGAACGCTGTCCCCAGCTACAGAACACTGTCCCCACTCCCCTGGCCCCAGCTACAGAACTCTGTCCCCACTCCTATCTCCACTCCCCATTCTCCTGTCCCCACTCCCCAAACTCTGTCCCCACTCTCTTGTCCCCACTCCCATCCCCACTCCCCGAACTCTGTCCTCACTGGCACTCTGTCCCCTGCTGCAGAACCCTGTCTTCTGCCCTGCCAGCACCCTGTTCCCTCTCCCCTGCCCCCACCCGCAGAACTCTGTTCCCACAAAATGTATAACTATAAATGCTTCATTTTAGATTTAAATAGCATGAATAAAAAACAGACCATTTATTTCATAACTATAAACACGTGATTTTAATCGTATGTATCGCATAATTTAAAAATAAACTGTTTATCAGAGTGTGTAAGTAAGGGCTGGGGATAGCAAGTGATGGACAGGAGGAGAATAGAGAGGGCGGGGCTTCAAGGAAGGGGCGGGGCGGTAGATCTTCGCCTGTTCTGAGATTTAAAAAGTGATCTTGGGTGTAAAGGTTGGAGACCACTGGTGTAACACATTTCTTTAGGTAATTTTCACTATTGGCATTTCTTTGAATAAGTTGCCTTCTATTTCAAGGCGTTTAAGCAGATAATTGCATTAGAACATAAACACAGGAGTATCTGTGTGAAACTGAAATAGATACATTCTTCCAGAGAATGGATTTCTTGTTTAAATTTCTAAATCAATATTAAGTGTCATCATCTAAAAAGGGTACTAGGCCTATGATACAAACTGCAGGAATGTGCACTTTCCCTTTCGAGCCTGTCAAAGCTAAGAATCTTGGATTTTTAGTTTTAGAAGGTCCACTAATTAATAATAATCTCTCTCACTTGAGCACTCTTCAGTTTATCATTAGCATAAAAAAATTGGAATTATGTGAGGAGGAAGAGGCAAAGGCTATGATATAAATAGGGGTTTCACTACTGTATAATCTTAAAAGTGGTAAGTTGGAATTTCATGTTGAATTTGGAAAAAGCCTCAAAGAGGTAACTGTTAGTCTGTAACTTTAAAAACAACTTTTAAAAATGATGAGTAATCCTGTAGCACCTTAGAGACTAGCAAAATATATAGATATAGTATCATGAGCTTTCGTGGGCAAAACCCACTTCCTCAGATAAGATGATCTCGAGAATCAAGAAATTATCTTCTTTGCATGCCTTTGAGATTCAAGATTATCTCATCTGAGGAAGAGGGTTTTGCCTTTGAAAGCTCATGATATTATATATAAAATATTAGTCTCTAAGGTGCCATAGGACTACGTATTGTTTTTAAAATTAGTATTGAATGAGGAAGGAATTTAAAGTAGTGAGTCATAGGATTCAAGAGGCATGCAAAGGAGATAATTTTAGTTGTTGGGCATTGAATGTACTAGATTGTGTCTAGAATAGAGTGAGGGAGACCTTTACTGTACTACAGGTAAGTAAAAAGGGCATGAAGCAGATATTTAACAGTGAGCACAGAAGGTTTGGTGGAAAAGGAAAGATGTGAACTGTATTTGTGAGGACAGTACTTAATAATGAAGAGGGGAAAGGGTAAATTTTTAGCTCAGGTTAATAGGAACTATGCCATTAAATGTGTCTTGCATTAAAAACTTGTCCCATTAAATTAAGATATGACTTAGCTGAGGTGGGGGAGAGAGTGAATGCGCATGGAGGGAGATGTGGATGGTCATATATGGGTTTCTACTGTGTGTGTGTGTGTGTGTGTGTGTGTGTGTGTGTGTGTGTGTGTGTGTGTGTGTGTGTGTGTGTGTGTGTGTAATTGTTTTGTGTTGAATTTATTGTTTTGTTCTCTTTTAAAGGATCAAAGTAACAATGAAATTATGATTGGAGTGATGTCCGGAGGAATACTAATTTATAAGAACAGGGTACGAATTAACACCTTTCTGTGGTAAGGAAAACTGTTTTCAACAAATGCTTTTGTGTGTTGTTTCATAATATTTTCCAAATTAATTACAAGCACTTTCATGTAGATAAAGAGACTTAAAATTATTCACTATTAAGTATCGCGGGTATAAATGATTCATTTCATATATTATGTACTGGATACTGCATGCAGATGTTTTATGAATGAAGATTTTTCCTTCTCACATGTCTTTAGGCCAGTCTTTAGGGGAACCTTTTTTGGGTCGGGAGCTGCTGACCCACAGAAAAATCTATTGGGGACCGCACACACATGAGAAGTGTAAAATAAACAAAAAGCAAACAAAACCCCCCACCCTCAATGACATGGCCTCCAACCGAGGAGAAAGAGACACCCTACATTCTTCCTACATACCAGAGCCTAGGGGACGCATCCTAGTAGCTCAACACCATTTATCCCTGTACTCTTCTCTCCTTGGGTATTAAGATTCCTTGCTGCATAGTGACTGACTATAAATTTGTTACTCAGTATGGCTTGTTGTATTAGAAATTAAAGTAACTGCTATCAAACTTTTATAAATGTTAAAACATATTTCCATTTTTCTTATTAGTAGTCATTTTTCAATTATTTCTGTTGTGTAGAATCAGTTTAGGTTGTAACCTATATCACACATCTTATTGAACATATTGTTACAGAACTGTGAGTGGGCTTTGTCTGCCTTACAGTTGTGACTGGAATAAATCAGCCTTGCAAGGCTGGACTAAGTCCTTTTTCACTGAAGTTTGATTCCTCACAGAAATGTCTTTGGTAGTCAGGCAATCAACAATTCCAAGTATAAATTTGTGTTTAAAGCTACAACACAACAGAATAGTAATCTCAGCATGTGAAATTAGTATAGAAGTTAGGTCACATAATTGTTAACTGAAATTATATTTTACTGGGACATACAGGAGATGTGACAAGATGGGAACTGTGGCCTGATCTATAGATTATATATTAATATAATGATTACTTAAGTAATTCTTAGTTATCTCTTAAAATTCCAGCCAAAATGTTTAAAAAAAAACCCCAAAAAAACCACAACCAACCCACCAAAATCCATCTTTTGGTAGACACAACCAAACAACATTTGCACAGGTCTTCCCTTTGCACAGGCCACCTCCATGGATGATACTCAAAACTGATGCCTCTCTACTAGGTTAGGAGAGTATACCTGTGCAACCTCATGACACAGGCCTGTTTGTCCCCTTCTGAAACACCATTACGCATAAACCTACTGTTTCTCCTTTGAGAGTTGTCCTTGTGGTGCTCCAATCAGGTGTCAGTACGTCTTCGCACCGGCAATCAGAGATATTTAGCCTAGCTGTGCCTCCCCATGTCACATATGCGCAGTTGCCATCTGACGCTCTTTCAGTCGGTTAGCTGTGTGTGCAACACAGGTCCTCTCAGTTCCTTTTCTACCATCCTTGGCAGAAGACCAGTTCCGAGCAATGCTCTTCTGACTGGAAAAGACTTTTAAAAAATTAGTTAAAAGTAGTTTTATTAGTTGTTAGTTAGCCTTAGTTTGTTTTCTTAAAAAAAACAAAACAAAAAAAACCCCCACAAGCATTGCTCTGCAGTTTTCTTTCTAAAAGTTCTCTATACCCCAGTTTCTTCATTATGCCGTTTTCTCCTGTCTTTAAAAAAATGCAACTCCTGCAGAGACTCAATGCCCACTTCAGGCAGGCATGCCTCATGCATAAAGTGCCTTGTCAAAGGCCATGTGGCACAGAAATGCCCACACTGCTACAATATGACTGCCAGGGCAAGAAAAGACCTGGAGATGAGGCTCAAGAACTTGCTGTGGGAGAAATCCCTTTAGCTGATACAGTCAGACAGTGGCACCTTCGGAACCACTAACTCTGAGCAAAAGAGCCAATTCATCACCTATAAGGGACTCCTGTAGATCCCGGTTCTCTCTGGAATGGTTCCTTCCAGCTATTTTGTTAACATCTCGTGTCATGGGCTCACTGGTGTGTCCACCTCCAGCACTGCGGAAAAGTGGAACGCAGAACTGATGAAAAGGTTGGAGTCAGAGCCAAAGAGAAAAGCCAGCCTCTGCACTGTCTGCAACTTCCCATTTGGCACTATCTAAAGTGGACATGCTGCCACTGGTGCCGCTGGATATGCTGGCACCGGCACAGTCTTCTGACTCGCAGTGTGTTCTAGGACCTAAGCATGAACTGGCACCAGTAGAAAGCCCAGAAAACAACAGAGTCCCCATACTGAACACCACAATCACCAGTGCCATCATCACTGGTGCTGACAAACAACTCACTTCATTCTCCCATAATCAGGGAGTCTAGTCTGCACTGATGCTCCTCTGAGAACATTTTGTTCTCCTGTCTGGGCACCAGACCCAGCATCAGGCATAGGAGTATGTTCTCCTCCCAGCATGCATTACCAACAACATTCATCAGTAGCTTCATGGCATTCAAGCAGGCACCAACCACGATACTGTCGCCCACAGTATTCTTAATTTAACCACCCGTGTTCTTACCTTCTGCAGCAATATCAACCCCAGTGGTCACCCTGGGAACCATGGAGACAATATCATATTCACTTTTCACATCAGCACCCATCATGAGAGTCAGCCGTAGCAACCCTGGCACACACAACAATGTGGTCTCCTACGACCGCTATTTAATCCTTGCCAACCTATCCCCCACCATCATTCTTGTCTACCACTCAACAGATCCCGCAAAGGAGGATGACAACTTACCTCAATCCAATTCAGACAGTTACTCTTCACTTCTCCAGACTTCTTCGTCCCTCAGTGAGTCTTTTTCTTTCTTTCTTCCTCTCCCCTGCAGATGACCTGAGGGTGGCACCGTCCCAAAACATAGCTCTGCAGGAGGTACAAAAAAAGCAGCATACGTTGCTGAAGATTTTATAGTCCACCACATCTTCCAAGATAGCACCACTAATTGACAAGGCTCTCATGGAACCATCTGATAGAAACTGGCCTCTAGCTCCCTCCCCCATTAATTGCAGGGCAGATAGAAAATACTTTGTCCCGGCTAAGGGGATGGGTTTTCTTTTCTCCCATCCCCAGCCGAAATCCGTGGTGGTAGATTCTGTACACCATCGTTTCAGACAGCCACAATTTAAATCAACGTCCCAGGACAAAGAACATAAGACTGGACCTTTTTGGAAGGAAAGTTTATTCCTCCGCCAATCTGCAATTCAGAAAATCCAACTATATGACTCTCCTCGCCAGCTATGATTGTCAGTTACATCAGTCTGCAGGAGCTTTTAAACAACCTTCCTGAATAGAAGAGGCCACAGCTACAGTTTAAGAAAGAGGGCCAATTCATCGCCGGAATGGTACTTCAAGCATCTATAGACTTAGCAGACATGGTGTCCAAGGCAACAGTAACAGCAATTGTCATGTGCTGCATATCGTATCCCCCATGAACTGCAGACAAAAGTAGAGGCTCTGTACTTTGACAGGAATCAATTCTTTGCAGTCAAAACTGAAAAAAGGTCCTTCACTCAGTGAAGGATTCAAGTACAACCCTTCGAACACTAGGTATGTACACACGGCCTAATAAGAGGAGATACACCCCATATTAAAGACAACATCAGAGACTGATCATGGATCTAAACAGTAGCCTACTAGGAGAAGAGCCCAGTCATCAACCTTTCATTCATTGGTACCAAAACAGTAATTTGAAGGTGTGGTCAGGGGCCTGAGCGATCTCCCCGCAGAACCAGTGCACCATCCACATAATACTTCACCATCTGAGGCCCTTTTTACCATCAGTGGAACCTCATAACTACGAACCAATGGGTCCTTGAGATCATCTGAATAGGCTATATGATTGCCTTTATTTCTGTGCCCCTAAACACTCCCCTTCCCTATCCCTCTTCAGGAAACCCCTTAGAAGTCCCATTTACAAGCAGAGGTTCAAAAACTACTCGACTTGGCAGTGATAGATCAGGTTCCACCCGAATTTCAGGCAAGAGGGTTTTATTCCAACAATTTTCTTACTGCCAGTAAACAGGAGGATGGAGGCCCATATTAGATCTCAGGAAACTTACCAAGTTTGTCCACAACCACAAATTCAGGATGGTGACCTTAGGAATCATCATACCTGCGCTTGGACAAGGGGTACTGGTTCTTAGCCGTCGACCTTCAAGACACATATTTCCACATAACTATACACCCCTCTCACAGAAGGTTCCTCCAGTTTATGGTAGGCAATGACCATTATCAATAACTAGTCCTTCCCTTTGGGCTTTCAACAGCACTACATGTTTTTCCATGATGCTGACAGTGGTGATGGCCTTCTTCAGGAAGCAAGGCATTATCATATTCCCATACTTAGATGACTGTCTGATCAAAGGAACTTCATAACAAATGCTAATCACGACAAACATTACAGGCGACCTTTTTTCCTGACTGGGTCTGCTCATAAAACTACAGAAATCCACTCTGGAACCTACCCAGAGAATAGAATTCATCAAGAGCGTCATTAGCTGCTGTGATGGCCAGGGCCTTCTTCCCCTACACCGCTTTCAAGCCCTGTGCAATAAAATAGACAGTGTATGTCATGTTCCTGTTACAACTGTTTACACACACCTTCAGGTCCTAGATCACATGCGACTTTGCTCTGGGAGACGGTCCCCAGCAGACCAGAGGCACAGGGAGCAAAGCGGCAGCGGCGGCGGGGTGCCACGCCTCTGAGGCTTTGCTGTGGCAAAGCCTCAGAGGCGCGGGACCCCGCCGCCACTGCAGCTTTGCTCCCGGTGACTCTGGGCTGCTGGGCCGCAGCGGCAGCGGAGCCCCGCGCCTCCCCGGCTTTGCCAGAGCAAAGCCTCAGAGGCGCGGGACCCCTCTGCCTCCCCGGCTTTGCTCCAGGTGTCCCTGGTCTGCTGGAGACGGTCCCCAGCAGACCAGGGGCACCCGGAGCAGCTTTTCTTGCCCCGGAGGTTAAGGTGGCGGGACTGCTGCGCTCTGGGCGGTCCCGCTGCCTGCGAGCTCCGGGGCGAGAGAGCCCCGTTCGTAAGTGCGGATCCGACATAAGTCGGATCCGCGTAACTCAGGGACTGCCTGTATAGCTGTTGTTCTTTTAGCAATTTTCTGCCAAATTAAATTTCATAGGAATTAAATTTAGTTCTCTGTAGAAAATTTACATTTCAATAAATGTACCATAATAATTTTAATGGTTTAATTGTCTTAAGTGTATAAATATTCTGATTTTATTTTTCATTTAGGTTGAAGATTGTAAAAATTTCTTTTAAGTGCAAACAGTTTTTTATTCAACTTAGGAAAGAATTGGTGAGTACTCATCTTAAATTTTGATCTCCTGAAAAATAGGAATGAAATTTCCCCATTAAGAAAAGGCTGCATTATACTTTTCCTGTTACAGAATTAGTGTATCTTTATCTAGGATAAAACATTGTTCCACCAGCTTGCTATATAATTCATTAGTTATCCAAAGGGCAACTTATCTGTTTTAAAACACTTCCGATTTTAATTTATTTTGAATTAGTTGGCTTGAATAATCAAATGTTTTTAATTCTGTCTGCGTAGACTAGCTAAAATCAGAAGTAAGAAAATACAGCATGGTCTTACTTTTAATTTTGGTTATGGCAGAAATCAAGCTAAATTGAAGTTAAATGTAATGCTTGACACTTATTTGTAATTTTTTGAGTTTGTAAGTAAACTCTTAGTTATGTTTTTATCTGTATTCCTGACTTTATTAACATAGTTTGGCTTTGTCCCACTTAACTATAAATAGAAAATATGACAATTTCTTAATAATTCTAGCCAGCATAATATAGAAATATTATTACTTTTAGAGACGTCTGCCTTCTTAAAAATATATTTGAACAGTTATTGGTGTTTTCTATAAAGAATAAGTATTCTGCTGATTACGGTTACTTGACATCAGTATGCAATGATACTGAACTTGGTGAGTAATGACCTAGTCCATGCCCCAAGGAGTTTACAATCTAAATTGGTAAGAGAGGTCACTGAGGAAGAGAATGGGCATGGGAAATGGAATGATATAATTCCTGAAGTATTCCACTGAAGGTAATGGACAGGGCTCGACAAATAATGCAATCTACTCGCCCATGGCGAGTAGATTGCAACCCAGAAGAGCTGGACAGCGTAGCAGATCGCCGGATAGCGTAGCTGGCGAGCGGGCCTCGCCATGGTTCGGCGAGCCCTGGTAATGGACATGCATAATGTGCCAGGAGCCTGAGCTTTACAAAGGCCAGTATTGCTTTGCTGTCCCAAGGCAATAAAGGGAGGGGCTGTTTGGCCATCTCTTCCGTTCCTTCTCACTGTTGCATGGTCTGAATTAGAGCTTCTACTGATATGCCTTTCTTAGTCAAGCACTTCCAAAATATTTGACAAAAACAGTTCTTATTTTCATTTATAGTTAGGATTTTGTTTTTCATTGTACTTTGGTAATTTGTAGCAGTTTTTATAAATAAGGATCTTGGATGCTGCTTTGGTAGCTTTTCCCACCAAACATATCCCCATCTTGCCCTCTCTGCCAAAGATGCCAGGATTCAGAGTCTGTGCTTCCTGCTTTTGCTCGTTTTCCATCAGCAGTGGAAACCAATGCAATTTGTACTGTTTGAAGGAAGTCCACATTGCCTCTGCATGCAGTGTCTACGCCTCCTTCCTTGCCTGTTTATTCGAAGGCCAATTCTCTGCTTCAAGAAATATCTCATAGAAGTAGTCATAGTCCTGAAGTCAGAACCATGCCACAGATCTCCCTTCTTTTTACATTGGCCTGAGAAATCCAAGAGTGCTTCAGCAGAACCTCCCTCTGGGTCTGCTGGTACCAAAGCTACAGACCCATGTTAGGGCCTTGCTATGGAAGCATGCACATATGTATGGGAGTAAGTCACTGCATCATCCACAAGTTCCAGCCATGGAGTTGCTGCACTCTCCAAGGTGAACAAGCATAAGAGGCCACACTGCTCAGCAGAACCTTCAATGCTAGATCCATTTACTCCTTATGCCTCAGCTATGTCAGCATACTGTGAAATGCTGGTGCTGAGACCAGGCCACTTTACCAGATCCATTCCCATCAATAAACTGATACCATTTACTTCGGGGAGAATTGGAAGTGCTCCTGGCCTCATGAACTGTTAACCTTGGAAGAAGTAAGTTCTCCACATGTTCTAGGGCATTCACCTCTGCGTAGGGCTTTCTCTTGCATTATGTTTACCTCTTGCTGGCTGCATCTTTCTAATGCATCACATTCTGACAGCTCCATCAGCACTGCCATACACACAAGACTCCAAGGACCAGGAGGGTTGGCATAGTCCACTGCTTCTGTTCTAGAATCATGACTACTTGAGGGTTTTGATGACTCCATGGCAATTTCCTCTTTTTCCTTACCCAAGAAGCTGGTATCCACAAATACAATGACTGCAGGATCAACTGAGTTATCCATATTGAAGCTTGTGACCCCAGCATCTGCTTTTGGAACAGTCTCAAGTTCAGCTTGGGAGAACTCTGTTTCAACAACCAATGCTTCTTACAAGAAACATTCAGAAATAGGGCTATATGATGTACCAATCAGCCTGGCTCCAATCACACCAGCCGACTACTATTCCAACCAATCTGATAGCTTTCTTTGATAGGATATCACACCTTGTGGATAAGGGAAAAGTGGTTGATGTGGTAAACGTAGACTTTAATAAAGTATTTGATACAGTCTTGCCTGACCATCTTATCAGTAAACTAGGGAAACACAACCTAGGTAGAGCTATTATAAGGTGGGTGCATAAGTAGCTGGATAACTGTTCTCAGAGAGTAGTTATTAACTGTTGAGTCACGCTGGAGGGGCATAACAAGGGGGGTTCTGCAAGGTTCTGTTTTGGGACAAGTTCTGTTCAATATCTTCAGCGGTGATTTAAATGATGACATAGAGCAGGGCTACTCAACATGCGGCCTATGGTGCAGTTTGGCTTTACGTGGGGCTCAACACTTGACCCGTGGGTGGGAGCCAAAATAAAGTAGTAATCAATGTAATGGTCTTCTGTTGATCTGCATTTTAGTAGTTAAACTCCTTGATTGTCATTCTCATTAAAAGAGTTTTCATATGGATAGAAATTGGGTAAATATTGCATTTTATTAATATATGCAGCCACACTTAAGTTGCGGCCCTTGGTGTGTGCTGTATCATTGTGGCCCCCGGGGCTTCCAAAGTTGAGTAGCCCTGAAAGAGAGTATGATTATTAAGTTTGCAGATGATACCAAGCTGGGAGAGGTTGCAACTGTTTTGGAGGATAGGCTCATAATTCAAAATGATCTGGACAAACTAGAGAAGTGGTCTGAGGTAAACAGGATGAAGTTTAAAATGCAAAGTACTCCACTTAGAAAGGAGCAATTTCACATATACAGTACAGGAAGTGATTGTCTAGGAAGGAGTACTGCAGAAAGGGATCTAGGGGTTACAGTGGACCACAAGCTATATATGAGTCAACAGTGTGACACTTGCCAAAAAAAAATAAAAAAAAACAAGTATGATTCTGGGATGCATTAACAGGAGTGTTGTGAGCAAGACATGAGAAGTCATTCTTCCGCTCTACTCTACACTGATTAGGCCTCAATTGAAGTATTGTGTCCAGTTCTGGGCACCACATTCCAAGAACAATGTGGAGAAATTGAAGAAGGTCTAGTGAAGAGCAACAAAAATAATTAAAGGTCTAGAAAACATGAGCTATGAGGGAAGACTGAAAGAATTGGGCTTGTTTAGTTTGGAAAGGAGAAGACTGAGAGGGGACATGGTAGTGGTTTTCAAGTATCTAAAAGGGTGTTACAAGGAAGAGGGAGGAAAAATTGTTCTCATTGGCTTCTGATGATAGGACAAGAAACAATGGGCTTACATTGCAGCAAGGGAGGTTTAGGTTGGACATTAGGAAAAACTTCCTAACTGTCAGGGTGGTTAAACACTGAATTAAATTGCCTAGGGAGGTTGTGGAATCTCCATCACTGGAGATTTCAGAGCAGGATGGATAGACATCTGTCAGGGATGATCTTAGATCTTGCTCCTGCCATGAGGGCAGAGGACTAGACTTGATTATCTCTCAAGGTCCCTTCCAATTCTCGATGATTCTATGATTCTGCTGTCAGTTTCAAGAACTTCCATAGAAAATAGACATTCTGCTCTCATTGGCACTGAAAAGGGTGGCCATATCAATTAGTAGCAGGATGGATAGACATCTGTCAGGGATGATCTTAGATCTTGCTCCTGCCATGAGGGCAGAGGACTAGACTTGATTATCTCTCAAGGTCCCTTCCAATTCTCGATGATTCTATGATTCTGCTGTCAGTTTCAAGAACTTCCATAGAAAATAGACATTCTGCTCTCATTGGCACTGAAAAGGGTGGCCATATCAATTAGTGATGCC